CCACTTCCTTCTTCATTTCAGTCTGAGTAGTCTTCAATATTTCTAACTCTTTTCTGAATTCATTCAGAAGTTTATCCCTATCTTCCTTCGGTTCTTTGATTTCTTTTTTTGTGTGTTCTTTAAATTCACTGAATTCATCATGTTTATAATTGTTCTTTTGAATTCCATGCCCTGCATTATCTCTAGGGGTTCTCATTGTACTCCTCTAGAAGACTATTGGTATTTGGTGGGGATATGTTATTTTGGTTTTTCATGTTATTATTTTTCTCTATGATTTTGACATGTGAATTTCTTTTGCAGTTTCTGATTCTTGTGTGACACTCAGGACTTCGAGTTTAGGTCTGCTTCTTTTTGTGAACTTTATGTGTCTTTGTGTTTTACTTTTTGGGCATGAAAAGCTGGTTTGTCTGGCTTCTGGTTCTCTCTTTTGATTTTATATTGGAGTGGCTGGATTGCTTTTGTCTTCAGGAGTTCCCACAGAGGCCCAGTTTAGATGAGGGTCAGATGTTTTCAGCCTTTCTCTTAAGGTCTGGATCCCTCCAGGAACGATTTTGTCCTCAGGAATTTGGGGGTTGGACTGACCTGGGAGCCTGGCCCAGGAATGATGCTGGTCTAGGGCAGCTGGTGGCCATGCCACCCAGAGATGCAAAGGCAGATGGGGCAGGAAGAGGCCCCAAGGACTCTTGGGGACTGCACTGAGGAGCTGGGTTGGTCTGGATACAAAGGATCAGAAAGAGGAAAGGTCAGTCCCAGAAAGAGGCACCATGTTGGTCTGGATGAAAAGGATCAGGAAGCAGTATTGGTTCCCCAGGTATCTGGGGCCCCAAGGAATGGGACAGGACCCAAATTAGGAGAGACCAGCAGGGGAGATGGGAGGGTGAATGAGGCTGGGGGTGTCAAGGCGCAGAGGGTGCGATGGACTTACCCCGGAGAGAGGCCTGTGGGTAGGCAAAACAGTATATTTTAAAATGAAATAGAAGCCAGGCATGGTGGCGAATGCCTGTAGTCCCAGCACTCAGGAGGCAGAGGCAGGTGAATCTCTGTGAGTTTGAGGCCATCCTGGTCTACATAGTGAGTTCCAGGCCAGCTGGGGCTACAGGGAGATCCTGTCTCAAAAAGAACAAAAAAAGAGATATTTTTTAAAAGTTAAAACCTCATTGAATTTTTTTTAAATTAAAAAAAAATTTTTAGAAGAAGCATTGCATTACAGCTTTACCATATTCATTAACAGTTTCCAGAGCAAAGATACATCTCTTTCAAAAGTGGCTATAAAATTTTTAGGTTCGCTGTTGAATTAATACAGTTATACAATATTGAACTCAGTATAAGCCCTGTAAGATATAAAATTGAATGAGGGTTTTTTTTTTTTTTTTGGTCTTTTTGAGACAGGGTCTCCCTGTAGCCCCAGCTGGCCTGGAACTTACTATGTAGACCAGGCTGGCCTCGAACTCACAGAGATCCGTCTGCCTCAGCCTCCCAAGTGCTGGGATTAAAGTTGTATGCCACCATGCCCGGTTGAATGAGTTTTTAACCTTTAAAAAGATTCCATTTCATTTTAAAATACTGTTTCTTACGGGAAGACTCATTGTTTTTGCTCGTAACACTGAGATGTTGGTGTATGCATCTCTAATCTGTACGTATCTGATTATTACTAGTCATAATTGGTTGCTCTTGGATCCTTGGCACCTGTGTATGTCTATAAAGTCATCGGGTAGATTTCAGTGGGAATGTTTATCACCTCTACTCATTAACATGGAGTAAATTTTTATGCTTCCTCCTCAAATATAACTCATTTAAAAAAATTCGTTGATTTTTTTTTGTGTGTGTGTATATCACGCAGAACATCCCAAACCATCTCATTCAACTGTACACCCACTTCCCATATGGCACCCCATAGCCTCCTTCCCCCCACTAGAGCCCTTATACCCTGTTATCCCTGCTACTGTCCACTGTGATGTCATCACCCCCAGCCGGTCCCCACTACTTGTCCATCTGGTGAATCTAGTCAGCCTATCTAGAGGTCTTTGTTTTAGGAGGGTCAGCTGTTCCTTTTCTAGCAGTAATCAGTTGTCAATATTCCTTTGGATAAGATTGGGGTCTGC